ATTTTTATGAAGATTTAGATGCAAAGACAAAATGCCTAATGTGCAATTGAGTAATAGAAAAAATAATTTTTGATGTCTATATATATGTATCAAAAATCAAAGATAATTTTTTTTGCTTATATAGTGTTGTAGTTAAAACCATTCCTAAATTATACAAAAGACAACCACCTTCTTGCTAGGTAGTAAAGTATTCCAATGAGTTTCAAAAACCTCACTCATTAATCAACAAACATCCTTGAAAATAAGATAGAATAATATTATAATGTATCTGAGAACAAAATACAATCTTTTAATGAGGGTAACATGTTAGCACCTTCAATAATGTCAAGAATCTTTAGCAAATACTACAACATAGAAGAACAATGTTATAGTAAGAAAATAGATAAAAATACAATAGATTATAATAATATTGTGAATTTAAGATAGAAGCAGTGATTATGAAATTTTTTAAATATTATAAGAATCAGTGAAGGAATATATCTCTCTTTCTCTTTATTTCTTAAATATTATGCATTTAATTGAGAGTAAATAAAATAAACTTATTTGTCACATTTTTTAAAGTATTTTGGCTAAGTAAAAAAATGTAATATTTTGTACTTGAATAAATAAAAAAATATATATTTGATCATTATCTATGAAATATTTATAAATTTAATATTGTTATAAAAAAATGTACAAACATAAGTGTTCAAATCTTAGATGCATCTTGAAATTATAATTATTATTCCATGGTATACTACTAACTAATAAAATTCCAAGCTTATATCTATCAATCAACTACAAACATGTCTAAAGTCAAATTTGTATCTATAAAGCTTCTACATCGCTTCTGATTAAGATATTATCAAATCTACTCATATTTATCTTCTATCTAATATTTTTTATCTAAGTAATTATGTATGCTCATTTAAATTTGTCAACAAACCTTCTTGCTCTAGATGTTTTATATAATCTTCACAATGATTCTAATAAATTTTATCTAAAAATAAATTTTTCTATCATAAAAGTTGTTTATATATTATAAAAGATTAAATATAATTATATATACTTCAAATACAACATAACTCTTCAATAACAGGGCATTTATAATATAATAATATTTTAGAGCTTATTTTGTAATATTATTGGCTTCAAATGAAAAAAGTTATAAAATATGTTTTTGAATTACATTAATTTTTTTTTCAGCAAAGACTACGTCATCAACTCCAAGGACTATTTTAACATCCCTCTATTTCAAAATATAATTATTTATTAATTTAAATAAAATTAGATAAAGATCTTATAATCTTTAATTTTCATTAATTTCTTTTTATGATGGTAGATTGTCAAAGTGGCATATTTTACACCTTAAAAATAAATTATTAAAAAAATAGCTAAAATTTTCTTTGATACTAATTTTTAATATCATATAATATTTATTAATATTCTATTTAAATAAAGGTCCTGATTTATATCAATTTTTTAGAAGACGCTATTCAATATATTAAAGGTTAAAATCAAATTATTTTTAATTTTTATCTTCTGTTAACTAGATAAATAAAATATGTAAACAAAGTAAAAGAGCATTATTTGCAATATGCAACCAATTATTATGAAGCCAATTAGATAATCCTCTTTTTTTTAATAAAATATTTATGTAATGATATTGTACATTCTTTTATTCATAAAATATCATTTTTTTAACAATCATAGATATTATCTGATATTTAGTACTTTAGAATTTTTTTAAGTTAAAAAAATTATATAAATAAATTAATAAATATAATAATATAAACTTACTTGATAATAAAGCCATAAGAAAAAATAAATAAGGACAATAAAAAAAAAACTATTTTTAATATCTTTAAAAACAAATCTCTATTTCAAGCTAGTAATAAATCATAGTTACTTTGTAGTAATATCAAGATTAATTAATCTTGTAATAAGTTGAATTATCAAAAGCCAAGTCTATTTGTTTATTTAATAATATGTTAATATAATTCAAGGTTGATTATAATTACTATAGCTAATGAAGATTTACAATATATTCTAAGTATCTTTTATTAAGCCTAATATTACAATTACTACACCAAGAAGGAAGAAATTACCCCCACCTACTGTTAAAAAATGTTTAAAAAAAAAGAATTCAATATAGAATAAATTTTAAATTTATAAATTTCTTTAATTTGTAACATAATATTTTGTGCAAAGTTCACCATAAGAAAGAAGCTTAGTACTTGTAAAAATATTCATATTTGATGTTAATTTTTTCATGTTTGATTTGTATAATAAAAAATACAAATTTACATCCAAAGATATGATATAAAACTATATAATTAAAGCAGAAAGAAAATTATTATGATGTTATGAATATAAGTCAAAATTCACTATGAGATTCTACTTGTATATTATGTTTTTATTTTAAATTAATTAAGATTCTTTAATCATTAATTAAATTTCTAAATATACTTTTTCTTTTATATAATGATGTGCTCTAAAGAAAACAATAAAATTTGAAAATTAACATTTTTGATTGAAAAAATGTAAAATATTAATAAAAATAAGATTATTAATGACATTTATTTCACCATCTTCTAATCATCCAGGTTTTAAGTATTAAGGTTGGTATAATAACCTAGCCATGTAAGATACAACTATCTACATTCAAAAAAAATACATGCTAAAACAATTTTAAAAAATTGAACCTGGTTTCCAGTTATCAAATGTTGTTCAGAGTTTCACACAATTAAAAATAAATAAATAAAATAAAGTAAATTTTGAGAAATTGTAAAATATATCAAATTGAAGACAAGGCAAGAAATCAACCCGTCATGGCAATATTTATGGCAAAGCCATATTATTGGTCTTTTTTTAAAAGCAACCTCACACAATTAAAACTTATTTTTGCAATCACTTGGTAAGAATTTCAAATTTTACTAGTATCATTATTATTATTATTATTGATGACCAGTATTCTGCCAATTATTTTCATGCCTCAATCCAAAATGTTTAGTTAACTCTTTGATACTGCATTTTCTAATTCCAATATGGCTTTTTTCCAAAAGTCAATGACATGTTCCACCTGAATCCAATGAACTATGGCTTGTCTTCCACCACCAATTTTAGATTACCATTTTGTGTTATATATATATATATATATATATATAAAATTAATGACTACATACACACACACACACACACACATATATATATATATATATATATATATACAATCAAAAGCATGTTGAATTGTCACACTTGTTGACACAGTTTTGCCAGCATTTTCGAATCCTCCATTGTACTACTGCCTCCCCACTCTGATCCAATCACTAAAAATGGGAAAAATTTGAACTCCTCTGAAGACACATGTGTGGGAAAGTCTCACTTCCAGGTCCTCCCAGATGGGTAGTCTCTAAAATCTTGTATAAGAAACCATTACAGTAAAATGTCCAATCACCCAACAGGTTAAAAAAAATCAGCATAATAATCAATGACTTTGTGATGAATGTCCTTCTAACACAACCAAGTTGAAATTGTGTGCTCTCCTTCATTCTATTTAATAGTTTAATATGTTGTTTGTTTTTTTGGCTAGTGTCAATTAAATATTATCATGACTCTAGCATGTGATGTGGATTTGATTCAATTCATACACTCACCTAATTCAATCAAATCCATTTCCATGCAATCTTCCTTCCTCACATTCAAGTTTTTGTATTTGGATGGGACAAGGCAGGGCTGCACAGATATCCATCGATGGGGTTATTTCTGTCAGAAAAATTGACTAGAACTTGTGTTTCAGCCACTTTCCTTAAAGCCATGAAGGTCATCAGTCAGAGCTTGGTGACATGACATCATGCTTGAAGCAGACCTATGATTTTCTTTATCTTTTTTTCTTTTTTTCAAAAAAAAAAATGGTATTTGGAACAATGGGTTCTGAAAGAAATGTTCTTTTCTTAAACATGGGTTCTGAGCTTCCTTCTTTCCTTTTCATTAGCCCTAGTAAAGAACACTGCACCTATCTGTACAAGGAACACAATCTAGACTACAGCACAAAAGCAAAGAGATCAGTTTCATTATATGAATTCTTCAGTTCCCAACAAAGCTACCTGGCCTTGGAAAGAAAGAGATCCAAGGTTATAGGTTGCCAGCATTTGGGGGCAAAACCAACCCACAGAGATTGTTAACTCCATGATAACACCATGGGGAAGACACAGTGGCACGCAAAATAAAGACGGCACATGCCCTCCAGCGACAGAAGGGAACATCAGGGAACAACGCAAAGGGAACGTAATAGAAATCTAGGGAGCGGCGGAAAAAGCGTGGGCAGCAATCGAGAAGCGGGCAGAGGGGGGAGCCAATGGGGAGCCACAAAGGAAGTCAAAGCGGGGAAGAGTCCATTAAATGAAACCCGAGGACTTCTGGGCAGCCTGGGCAGCCAGGGCAGCCAGGGCAGCTCCAGTGTGAAAGGGGCAGATTTTGTGAGCGGGAGCGGGCTAATCTGGGCTCCACAGCGTGATTTGAACAGAGCTACCACCACCCCCCTCGCTCTGCCGCGCATAGCCGGGCCTGGCCAACCGAGCGTTGGGTACAGCATCGAAATAAGAAGGCCATTCCAATTCTGACTCCATGGTGGGGTTTTCACGAAGCAGAATCCGCCGAGGTGCTGGGGGTACACACAGGAATTCACGCCGACGTGTGCAAAATTCTGCCCTAATTCAAAGCATTTGCGGAACCTACCCTTCGAAATTAGCACAGTGCATGCCGCTAATTCAACGGCGATACGCTGCCGAGCCGAGAGCGTGCCTTCCCTGGGAAGCAATGTACGCCTCACGAGGCAGATTCTTGTGACGTTGAAGCCCTGCCACGAATTTGTAGATCTCGTTACGTAGGATTTTGCAGAAAAGCTCCCAGTGTAGAAATTCGGGGGAATGTACTTGAGTAAAAGGGGCGCGCTTCGGGCGGTGAGTGAGTTCGTGCCCGCGTTGTGGATTGGATTCCTCCAGGGTGCGCACCTTGGGCGTTGAAATCTGCTGCTTGTCTCGAAATTCATCGCTGCGCTCCAGTCTTGGAAAGAGGATCTTCTGTCGGACCAGGCCCCGTGATGCACGATATCGTGCCCTCGTCCGGCGCCACGTATGACAGCGCTGAGACAGGGTATTCAATCCAGATCGAGCGCTCCTAGGTTATCGAAACGGAATGGCTCTGCCCCGCCGTTCCCCTCCACCTCGTTCTTGCAACTTGTCCGTGTGCTTCCGATTTCCAAATTTTTTTTGCAACCTGCCAGTCATGCAACAGAAATGACCCACAATGACACAACCGTAATCATCTCCTCGTCTCTTAAACCCTTACAAACTCGGCCTTTCCTGTCACACTCCTTTTACCGTGTCACACCCTCCTCTGCAGATGGTCTTTCTCCACTTTCTAGTCACGAATGGCCTTGCGGAGAGAGAGAGAGAGAGAGACAGAGAAAGAGAGTGATGTGAGTATCAATCGGAGTGGCATCTGCATTGTGTGGACATGAGCTTTGGCTTCAAAATATTTTCGATTGAACGTTTGTGAAGGTGTGTCCGCATTAATCGCATCTGAACACGCGCTACAGTGATCCCGTCGCGATTGCTCTGTAGAGCTGCGCACAGCAGTCTGGTGGAACTGCAAAGGGAAAGATTGCTCATCAGCAACACTCTGGCAGCTGGTATGATTTTTGTGCTATCCAGGCGGCGAGCAGCGGCTACCAGGGGATCGCAGTGCTGCTGTGAGGATTTCTGAGACCACATTACTCGAAATTTTACACCATGATCGAGTGAGACGCAGGACCTCAGTCGGAATTGATTTATCTGCAACTATCTTGTCGAGAGGTTAATGTGGGAGTCCTGCCGTGGTTGCCGGAACAACACGTGAGACCTTTGAGTGGCTCGTGAGATATTTCGATACTCGAGGTTTTTCATGGTACAAGGGGCTCTGCAAGGCGGGGGGTTTCTGGCTATACCGCTGAGATATACATGCATTTGGCAATCTTTGAGTGTGTTTGCACTATCCATTGCTGCAGCTGGGATGTCGTCAATGACGTCGCTTAGTCTCAATGCCGCAGGATTGTTTACACGATTAAGTGTCGAAGAGCGAACCCTCAGTAAATGAATCGGCGGAAATGTTTGTTCTCAGCGGACGTTCTCCGTAGCATTTCTGTAGTCGATTTCTTAAGTTCTAAAGGTTAAAAAAATCCAGCGTATCATTTATCCCATCCGTCGAATCCTCAGGAGAGCTCATGAGAGTGGTTGTGAAGCGCCAAGCCAAGTCATGTGTAGTTTACCGTAGTCCATCGGTGCCCCAATACCTGTCCGGCACACGCCTGTGCTAAGGTTGAGAATGACAGGTGGAGTGGAGAGTGCAAGGCGGTTGCGGCCGCGTTCTTGCAGCTCCATATCGGGCAAATGCTTGGATGAAGTGAGGCAGACTAGAGCAGCAGCCAAACGATCTGCCATGGAGGAAACCGCTTCGAAACCTGGAAGTAGTGCAGTGTACCCTAGGAAGCGAGCCGGCATGCAGCCGGTGAGGAAGCGTGCTGCCCTGTCGAACATCACGAATCAACAGAGTGTTGTTCAGTGCGTGGGTCCCGGGAACGGGACGGTGGACGTGAGGGTTGTGGGATTGAAAGCTGATCAGGAGTGCCGAGGAGATAAGAATGCGCATCCTGGAATCCCAGCGCAAGGGGCCGGTGAAGGGAAGGGACAGGGGGCGTCGTTGGATTGCGAAGCCGAGTGTGGTCCAAGGAGTAACTCGGAAGCGGTGGCCTCTTTGGAAAGGCGAACTGTGCAAAACCTGCACATATCTCAGGAGGCTAAGGATCGGGTGAAGCAAGGTAGGGGCGTGAGGGCAGGCAGGGTTGTGATTGCATCGTGGGTGTGAATACGATAGCAGCGGGTGGGTCCGATTGGGGTCCCCGCGAGAGTGATTGTGTGTGGGAACTGATGGTGTGGTGGGCGATTGTTGAGCAGGGGACCTTTTCAGCGACAAGAGCTGCTCAGAAACATCGGAGTGGTCGAGCGGGGAGCTCTGCTATGAAGACATCGACAATGATCATTGTGACCCTCAAATGTGCAGCAGTTACGCCACAGATATTTATGAGCATCTGCGTATGGCTGAGGTGAGAGGTGAAGCCCCGGGATTGTGGAGGGTGAGTAGAGTCCAGCGTGCAGGCGAAAGTGCGGAGCGGCGGGGCAATGCATGTCGGGTTGGCAGTCCATGCGGTGGGAGAGGCGCATGACTGACGTGCAGCGGTGATGGATGTGCAGATGAAAAGGCGACCGTCGGCGAACTTCATGGAGTCAATTCAGCAGGACGTGAATCCGACGATGAGAGGGATCCTGGTAGATTGGCTGGTGGAGGTGCGGCATGTGAGAATGGTGTTGTGATGGGGATTTGATTGGGGGTGCGTTTTGGCGGTGGGAGGTATAGTGGATGTTGAACGAAGCGTATGGCAGGCGTGAGTGTGACATGAGAATGCGTTGGCGATGCGCAGGTTGCCGGAGAATACAGATTGGTTCCCGACACGCTGTACTTGGCGGTGTCGTACATCGATCGATATCTTTCTGCACAAGTGGTGACCCGACAACGGCTTCAGCTGCTGGGTGTGGCTTGCATGCTGATTGCTGCGTGAGTGACGTGTTGGGTTTTGCGTTTCCGGTGATGAGCGGTGGGGTGCAATCGAGTTGGGAGTGAATCGAGTTGAGGGCGTGGATGGGTTGATTGGTTGGCGTCGTAGTGTGCTGAGGTTGTGCGGGTTTGGTGTTTCCAGGAAATACGAAGAGATATGCGCTCCCCAGGTGGAGGAGTTTTGCTACATTACGGACAGCACGTACTGCCGGGAAGAGGTGGGGCCTGTGAAGTGGTGATGTGAGATGGTGGTGGATGGTTGGTGGCGTGCAGATAGGGGGATTGAACGTGCGATGTGTGTGCGTGCGTGCAGGTGTTGGAAATGGAGAGGGGGGTGCTGAACGTGCTGAAGTTCGAGCTGACGACTCCGACGACGAAGAGTTTTCTGAGGCGGTTCGTGAGAGCGGCCCAAGCAAGCTGCAAGGGTCCGAGTCTGGTTCTGGAGTTTTTGGGGAACTACCTGGCTGAGCTGACCCTGGTGGAGTACGGATTCTTGCCATTCCTTCCTTCCATGATAGCGGCGTCTGCGGTGTATCTAGCCAAGTTGACTCTGGACTCGTCGACATGTCCGTGGGATGCGACGTTGCAACACTACACGGGGTACAGGCCATGGGAACTGGAGCGTTGTGTGCGAGCCATGCATGAGCTGCAGCGGAACACGAAGAGCTGTTCCCTTCCTGCCGTTCGGGAGAAGTACCGACAGCACAAGGTGAGTTGTGAGCGGAGGCCGCGAGGGCGGTGAAGGGATGGGGGGAAACGGATGCATTCATGTGTTGGCAATGGTGGTGAGTGAGGTGGGGAGTGTGTTGACTTGTCTGACTGGAGGGTGTCGGGGGTGTCGCAGTTCAAGTGCGTGGCAACGCTGGTTCCACCCGCCGCTCTCACAGTGGAACACTTCAGGGAGCTGGAATGAGGAGCGGTGGATGGTAGCCCAGTCGGTCGGCGGTGCGAGTGAACGAGCGAGGAAACAGGCACGAAGAGCGCGGTCGGGGCGCAAAGCGACAAGAAAAGTGGAATGCAAGGCTGCGGAGGCCCTGATGAAGGAAAGCTGCGGTGGGCGCTGGCATTGAGCTCCGTGCAGGCGTCGAACGGGAGCCCTGGAGTGGAAAGAGTGATGATGAGGGCGAGGCTTCCTGGTGATTCAGTTGGGCGTATGATAGTGAAACCTGTGGACGCGGGCTTGGAAAGCTGTGATTGTCGAGGGATGACACGATGGTTGTGGAGGGCATGGGTAGTGCACATGGCGCGCGAGTGCAATCCAGGGTGAGGCATGGCAGATGGGTGGATGAGTATGGGGTCGTGCAATTGGGCACGGGTGTGGTTGCACGGGGAACGATGGCGTCGGGAGGGTGGTGCGGTCGTAGCACATGAGATGGAAAGGTCTGATTGTAAAAGCATGTAAACTGATGGGGGTGCAGTTGAGGAGGGGTTTTGAAGCGGGAAACGAAGCAGCATTCGACGTTGGAATGAACCGGGGTGGAGTATTGGGGGCGGCAGGCTGAGCAAATGTTGAGGTTAGCGGTTGGATTGGAGTGGGGGTGGGGGTGGGTGTGGGGGTGGAGGTGGGGCGCAGGTCGAGAGTTGATGAAGGGCATTCATGGTGTAGGCGGCGCACTTCTTGTGTGGTGCGAGATGATGACAGGAAGGGTTAAGTTGGATTGACTGTTTGTTTGAGAAGAGAGTTGTAAGATATAGTCAGGTCTGGTGCCCTGTCAGTGAAGGGTGTTGAATGAGGAGGAAATTAGTGATGTTTAAGAAAGTATGTTCCATCATTTCTCAGAGGTGATTTTCAAATGAGTTGATTATGAAGTGCTACTGTTGTGGAGATTGCACCTTGGTTTAGGACATGTGCCTATTTGATACAAATTAGAACGTTAATGTCAGCTTGTTCTGTGTTTGTGTGCTACCTGAACTTGCATTGTTTTTGGAATAAGTGGATGTTTATGACTGCATACGTAGTGCTTGTGGATATTTGAGTGGCTCAGATATGATTCTGTGTGTGCTGATGCAGTGAATGATACCTTGCTAGTTTAACTTTGCAAGGATCATATGGCCTTCTCAGTTGTGATTAGATAGTTATTGCTGAGCATCTGTTACTTTTATCTGGCCTCAACATCTGATCATGGATGAAGGCGTATGTGCTTAAAGCTCTAGTACTTGGCAAGTTGAAAAGACAAATACATGTCTGACCATCTTCTTAGTATGGTACCCGCTTGATTGAACATTATGACTATTTGAATATTGCCTGCCCTACTAGATGTACCAAAGTTGAGATGTGATATTCACATGGCTATTTTTTTTCTGGAATGTAGAGTTTATTTAGAAGCAGTGACCATTTTCTTGTAAAGTGAGATATCCAACCTTATGAATCTGAACACAACTCCTGTTCCCAAAGTAGTTTGCACTTCGAATATTTCAGGGTTAGAGAAGAAACATACAGAGCATATGGTAATAAAGTTCGTAACTTTGATGAGGTTGCTGCAAGCTTGCTTTGCACTTTTATGGCATTACCCTGTAGAACGAGAAACTTCCCGCCCTCTGCCAGATTTTCTTCCTTTTATATCCACTCGCAAATCCCGTTCAATTGGAAAAGTAAACAAAGAGCAGCTGTTGCAATTTTGTTCTCTTGACACCTCTGAATGAAGCTTGCACATTAGAACAGCTCTTCGACATATTCCAACATTGACTAATACAAGTATGTTCTTATCTGAAACTCATATTTTATGACAGCAATGGAAGAATGGTGGAGAGAAAGAAAGGCTGGGTTTGTACCACTGGCATGAAGCTGAAGTAGTACCATTGTTGTTCATCTTATGAATGCTGTTCTTGATGTACTTGGATTTCATATCATTTCTTCATTAGCTTTGACAGAACCATAACTGTAGGGTGGCTCATTACAAATCATAGCCAAGACAAGGCAATCCTATTGACATGTTGATTCAGAGACTGTTTGTATTTTTATATTGTTTATCCAAAACTTTACCCTCTTCAGGATTGATTGGGCATCAAGGCAATAGAATTCTTCTTTTTTGGATTGCCTTTCCAACAAAATGTATGAATGTGAATATACATATATCAAAATTTTAGATTCTAAAGTTAAGCGATTTTATATTACATTTAAGGTTTATGGTATTAGAATTTGTAAGTATTTACATATGAGTTGAATTTTAAATTTTTTTGAGAAAATATTGTTCATTAAGGATAAAGAATGGTTTTAACAGCCTTATAATATCTAGTCAAAAACAAATAATCTCTATACTAAGGTGATATCTTTTTAAAGAGGAATATTTTATTTAATCTTAATAAACCAAAAAGTTTAAAGTTTTGAATCTAATTTAGTAATTAAAATCTCTATTAATATTGAATTATATTCAATTTAATTTAAAATTATAGTTCATGTGGAATTTTACTTAATATAAAATTAAAGTGCAACTTATTAACTTTTATACTTAGTATTTTTTCTTAATCAGTAATATCAAATTCATATAAAAAAACAAAAAAAAAAAAAAAAAAAAAAGTGCCAACATCTAGAAATGATTAAAGGTGATCAATGAGCTCTCTCCAAACTTATATTGAGTCCAAAGGGAATCCTCTAACTTATTAAAATTTGGACTTGTTTATGTTCCAAGTATTGGAATTTGAACCTTAAATTAACTAAATAGTCAGATTTGCTCTACTTGTGGTAATATTTATTATTAACTTGGTTAGTTCTATTGATCAATTTGCTAATTGTTCAATTTAATATCCAAGGTTAATATATATCGAAAATCAAACAAAATTTTGACAATAACTAAATTTGAAATATATATATATATATATATATATATATATATATATATATATATATATATATATATGTATATATATATAAAGATTTAATTTTTTTTAACCAACTAGAATGAAAATAATTTTCTTAATTAAATTTTTACATTTTAAAAATTCAAAACCAAATTACTAATATTATTTAAAAAATTGATATTTTTATTAAATTTACAAAGAATTATAATTTTTACTTAAATAATATATATATATATATATATATATATATATATATATATATATCATGTTTTAATCAAAACAATATTTTAAGCATTATAAGTATAAGTAGTTTAAATTAATATAAATCTAAAAATAATCATTTTATTTATTATTATTTAATTTGATATTAACTTATTATCATAATAGTTTTTATATAAAGCACTATTTTGTAAATATAATAATTATTGAAAAACAGAAAAAAATTAAGGTTAAATAAATAAATTAATAAATAAATCTTATAACTATTATATTAAAATTAAACTTATAATTAATATTTATTCTTGAAGATGTTTAATCAAAAATATAAATTTATATAAAATTTTATTTAAAATTTTATATGTGTTAAAATTATTTAAAGAAATTAAATTCTATTATTAAAAAAATAATTATATAAATAATACCATCTACACCTTAAGGATATAAAAAAAATTATCTTGTTTAAGCACATTACAATCTTTTTATTATATGACATCTATAATATCAAATAATAAAATCAAAATTTTAAGATTATAACTAAATAATATTTTATATCTTTGTCAAAAATTTATATATTTTTGTGATACAAACACAAATTTTAGAATTTAAAGGCATTTAGTATATGGCTTATTTTAGATACTTTATATCTTAACTACTTTAATTTTGAAAATATATCTTTAAATTTTAGAAGTTTCTACTTAGAGGTTTTAAATATTATATATATATATATATAATATGAAATAAGAAAATTTGAAAAATAATTTTAAAAATATGAAATATATTAATTTAACTTTATCAAGATATTAAAAAAAGTTTTTCTAACATTTCATATATAAATATGTGAAGTATTATTATATCATAGCTATGATATAATAATATTATAAAAAAATATATTATTACCAATAATATTTTATACTAATATCAGAATTTATATAAAAAGTTATTTTTTTCTTATAAACAAAAATGGCAAAGTTAGCTTTAAAAAAACTTTTTTTTTATGAATCTTAGAATTTTTTCGTTTGATTAGAAAATAAAAATATAATTAGATAAATTATTTTAATATTTTTATACTAAAATATATCTTTATTTCTTCTAATTCAAATCTTAACATTAATATTAAATCTAATTCTTTAGTATGAACCAAAATACTAATAATATATGATTTCAGAAATTTAAAATAAATTTTTATTATTTATTCTTTAATTTAAAAAATTAATTTAAAAATAAATGTATAAAAATTATAATAATTTAAAATTAAAAATTAATCTATTGTTAGAATCGCAATAAAAATATTTATAAAGTAATTAATTTCTATATGATATTTAAGTACATAAGTTTAATATATAATTTAAAATATTTAAATAATTTTTTCATATATTTATAGCTCTATTATTAATAAAAATAAAAATAAGCTATATTTGCATAATAATTCTTTAATTTACTGTAATAAATAAATTAATCATTTAATTTCTTCTATATTTGATATTATTCATATTTTTTTCTAATTTTTTTGTAAATATGTATAATTTTTAAAAAATATAAAAATACTTTAAAATTATATTTTTCTTCTATTTAATAATATTTAATTTTGAATAATTATATTTTTTATTAGATCTTCAATATAATAATATTTATATACAATGAATAAAAACATTATTCCAATTTTTGCTCTAATTCCACATCTTACATTCTTGAATTCTTTCATAATCCAAAATAGATAATTACTTAAATAATAAATTAAATACTATCAATTTTAAATTTAATACAAGAATAAAAAAAATTGTTTGCATCATAGGTATAATAAGCTAACATGCACATTAAAGATATTGTGACAATTTTTGATTCATTAGTCAATACTTTCTAAGCCAACTTTTTACCTTTAAAATTGCTTCTACACAATGTGGCATGCTATCTATAGGATTTAAAATGACTTCTTGAATGATTCTATCATATTTTTCATTCACCATCTTCTACAACACTAATATTTTAAATTATTATATTAATTAAGTATTTAAATAACATTTGGGATGCTTTAGTAAGTATATTATAATATTAAGGTCTAACAAATGCATAAGCCATTGCAATACTTGCAAGCCAAGTTCTTCAAAGTACTCCTTTATCTTTTAAGAACTATACTTTAGATCATTATTTTGTTAAAAAATCACATCATTGACATCCAAATTATAATAATCTAAGGATTCTATAAGCTCATTGTGTAATATCTTGCATTATGATTTGTATTTATATTCTTTTTAATTGTCATGAGGTAATCTATGCTTTAAGCAATTATGCACCCCAAACTATAAGCAAATATAATGGACATATATATTTACATCAATAGTTACTTATATGATTAAGTAGAAGTAGGTAAATATAGAAAAAATTCATAAAGTCTTCTAGAGAAGCTTCCTAAAAGCTTCATAGATGTGGTTTTGACTTTAGATGTATTTGTAGGTTAAAAACTTGGCCAAAAAGCTAACCATATATTGGTAGCTTATGGAACAAGTTATCTCTATATAGTGGCTTGTGGAACAAGTTATCTCCATATAGTGGCTTGTGGAACAAGTTATCTCCATATAGTGGCTTCTGGAAGAAGCCAACTATGTGGCGCATACATAGATAACTTGCTTTGTAAGATAAGACATGTGGCTAGCAAAGTCAATACATGTTGGAGGTCCTATAGGACATCTTCACATAACTCTTAGTTAAATAGTATATATGGAGGTAAGAGTGAAGCCTTTTTCACTCTTGTCAACGCCTTTCTAGTCTTAGTCTTGTTTCAAGACTTTCTAGTCTTCTTGTTTTTGGCAATAGCCATTCTAGTTAATATTACATCACCTTTTGAGTGACTTTCTAGTTCTCTTTAGTGATAGAAGAGTGTATTGAGGATTC